TTGGTCTTGGCCAATCAACAACTTGTCTGCACCATCTGAGGATGAACAGAAATGCCATTGTTACTCACCCATGTCCTAGAAAAGAGATGGTTTTCAACAAAAATTGACACTTTTAGAATTTAAGATAGAGTTGGTGTTGCTTTAATGTCTCCAACACCAATATGAAATGAAGTACATGATCATTTTTAGACTTGGAATACATCAAAATATCATCAACAAAAGACATTAACAAACTAATCTAGATAAGCAAAACATAGTTAACAAATTTTAAAGTCATCCAAATCCTTGATGATAGTCAATCTTCGCTGAAGAAGTCGATTGATAAAATAAAACCCTCAAGTTACAAGTGCAATAATCCACATATCATCAATTATGGTCATGTTAAAATTGAATCTAAAATGGATATGTTTATTTTTAAAATATAATATCTCAATTACATGCATAAGTGTTTCAAGTAAACTCTTCAATGATGTCTGTGTTGAATGAAAATCTCAAAAGGAAAGGATCTATTTCAAAATGCATTCAAATCCTATAAATAGAAATTTTCATATAAATTTTCTAAATCCTAAAATAATCAAATACTATTAAATCTATCAGTTATATATCTATGTTGTCACCACTGAAGTTAGATTGGCAATTTAATCTTTATTTTAGCTCACAACAATAATATATAAAAAATGATTCATCATGCCCACCTCGCAGATAAGAGTGGAAAAATCCAATCCAAATCTCGCTCGGCTTAGAGACAAAGATCTGGTGATTGGCTTTGAGTCAATCTTAATTCAAATCGAACTTACACAAAATCAAATCATTTCAATCCCTTAGTTGATTTAATTTGGGTAAAAAAAAGGGAAAAGAAATAGACTTAGGTGGTATTTGGTTTGAAGTAAAACGGGTGCAACATTTTGAAATGAAGAGATTTTAAAAATTTTGATGTTTAATTTAATAAATGAAATATAGAATAAAATTTTAGTGAATTTCAAATTGACTGCATAGTTTATTTGTGACGTATTTAAAACTTTGCCAATTTTGCCCATTTTTAAATACATTATGAGACATGACCATTGTGGCAACCCATATTGGCTTTTGTCCTCTCACTCGTTGCTTACTATTGTTCGTAGTTACCAATGCTAGCAAGTGCTAGCCGTTAACAACCGCCAATTGCCCGTCATGTCAGTGGCCTCTATCACCATATATCATCCACCATCTTTTTATCATTGAATTCATTTAAAAAATTAATCTCATATATTTATTTTATATCCAATTAAGCAATTTAAAATGTTTCAAAAATCTTGAAATTTTTTAAGTTGTTTTTTTTTTCCAGAAATTAAAAGACCTTTTGAGTTGCGATTTTTTCTTTATTTTTTGAAAATAGTGTAAAATCGTAGTTTTTTTTGGAGGAAGTTACAAGAATGAGTTTTAATAAGCTTCTTTGCGCGAATTTGAAGAAATCTGTTACAGATTAGAGCAGAGAATGCACGCAATTCCTTGCTTCCTCTTCACATGCTTACCTCGGACGCTATATAGAAAGAATTGGCGCCATTATCTCCTCCCGAAACGGACTAGACAAAGGTCTGTTCATGGAAAAATTATTCCATGCGGATCGGCGTCCGCACGCAGCTTGCGTGCGGACGCCGAGTAAATCACATGATTTACGGTCTCGATGTATTTCGGTGGGCCCCACCTAAAATTTTTTTATTTTTTTTTAAAAAAACGGAAATAATCCTGACCGTAGATCACCGTGATCTACGGCCAGGATCGAACACCGCATGCAGAGATGCATGCGGTGTCCGCACGCAATAACTGTTCATGGGAGTCCACTTGAGCTCCCTGGGAAAACATGGTAGTTTTTCCTTCTTTATTCGGCATCCTTTCCCTGATGAACTGCTCTTCATTTGTTTACATTTCAATCCATGCTCTCCCGCTAATACAATTACTTGTTGGGCGTACCTTTCCTCATCTGTTTAATGTTGTTCTTGATGCTAAACTATGTTATTCTGTAGTTGCTGATTTCACTCTCGGCTGTAGATTTTATGAGCGTTATTTTTTATTTTTCCTTGAAGTTGTTGTAAATATTTTACTGTATTGGTTGAAGATTTCTAAATCCTTCTAATTCATGTGCCTTTTTAAATTTGTGGGATGGAACTTGTTCTCTTTTTATTGAGGCAAAAAAAAAAAAAAGTTCATTAATCGACATCTTCTACAGTCATCACTGTCAGGCTTGATCATGTGGAACAGAACTTTATTGATTCCTTTTGCGTTGATAGATATAGTCGCAGTTTACTTTAGATTGCTTCTTTGTTGAAGATGGCTGAAAGATAGAAACCTTTATAACTACAGAACTGAATGCAGACGGGAACATGAAGAATTGGTGCATGCTTCACATTCACAATTGCTGAAACTTCTATTCCTTTCGGTCTTGGTCGTTGGGTTTTAATTTATTTTTGGGGCATTTACATACATAACACCTAATTTCTATGTATTTACATATACAACACCTAAACTTTTCTTTTTTTGAAGACTTATATCACACTAATCTTTCTTATCACATCAAACATACTACCATTTTAACTTTTAAAAAGTAAAATACACTTTTTCATGCATAAGTAAGGTGGAATGTATGTAAAAATTGAAGTTTAGGTTTAAGATATGTAAATTCATAAGCATTGAGTGATATGTAAGAAATCTTTAATTTTTGTGTGCCTTAATCTATTGTTGAAATTGCTAAAAAGTATATTTTCTAAATGCGGCTATAGGATCATTTATACACATTTTATATTGGAGTTTTGTCTTTCCGAAAAACTTTTCATTCCTTTCTTTTTAATAAATTTAGTACATTCAAACCTTCAAATGCAAACACCAAGTTTTGCAACTCTTATACTTGTAACCATCTGTGTCTGTTGTCTGCAAACCAGGAATTGCAAAGTAAATTTGTTGATTTCATTATAATGTCTGCATTTCGACCCTGACAAAAAAATATAAGCGGACCAAATCTGATTTAAGAGTACAAAAACTTACGTATTTCTGGTAGGATGACAAAACATGACATCAATTTTTTTTTCTTACAAGTAAGGCATACTTGGGGTGTATGAATGGTTATAATGGAGAACTTACCAAGATCTAATCCAATTTTTGAAATTTGTGTATGGTGAGAAGTGATTTAATTTTACTTGTAATCTCATACAGGCTACTTAGAATAGTCATATAGTCCAGAGTGATTTATGGATCTAGTTAGAATAGAAGGAAAGCAAGCAAATTTGTCGCTTTAATGCAAAAAAAAAACACTAAATATAATTAGAGGAACCTCAGAACTATGTCTCAATTTTAAGGGATGGTATAGAGTTGAAATACAAAAATTGATTCTAGGTTACTTTCTTCTAAAGAGTAATAAATAATTGGTACATATGGGTTGCATTGGAAGACGATAGACTTTTATTATGCACTAACGTAATGTGGCTAAGAGATATTACAAATCAGAAGTTCAAATTCTGCATGCAAGGAGCTACAATGAACATTTCAAAGGGTGAAAATAATAAAAGAATTGTTTCAATAGTGGTTTCTTAATTAATAATAAAAGGCGAACACTTCACTACATAAACTCATGTGATCCTCACTTGTATAACTGCTATAAGGAAGCAACAAAGAGAGGAGTGGTCGAAAAAGTGAGATTTGAAAGGTGTCATCCATGTAAGAAAGAATGATTTTTTGTTTTTTTGGCCTACAAGTAGAGTCTTTTGACATCTTTGAAGAAGAAAAACTTGTCTCTCAATCTTTGCATGAATGTTGTGACGACCTGCCCGAGGTTTGGAATTACTCATGATGGGAATAGACTATCTGACGATATAAATTAAATTTTCGATATTTATTTTCTATAACTTGATTTTAATATATGGAAAAGCCACTAATCAATTTAATTAAAACAATATATTTAAAATTTACCTCATTATCGGTTTTCAACATCTACCATAAACGTTCTCTCATTCATCGTTCATCTTTTAACACTTAAATTAACCTGAAAAGTTAGTTAAAAATAATTGTGAGCTGCACAAGTAAATACTCATATTCCTTACTACAATAATACATGAAAAAAGAAAGTTAAATACATGTCAGTTAAACTCTTAGTAAATCAGTATTAACATTTGAGATGCTATCAAAAAATCTACGATATCAATAGCATGTCAGTATCATTCTATATCTGTACAACCGCCACAGAAGTATCGTCTATAAATTATACCACTTAAGGTACTTCAATATCAATATTCATTTCCATATACGTGCACGAGAACTTTAGTGTTCTCTCACTAGTATCATCAATGAGTGACTGCATCATAATCAATCATACACGTGCAAACACTATATTAAATAATTATTTACTTAAAATATATTTCATTCTCATTTGTATATCATACAATATATTTATAAATCATTTAAATAATGTTATGCACACATCATTAATACAATATAAATAAAAATTCATTAGAATTCAAAATCATGAGCTTGCAGTAATTTCAACATAACTAATGATAATACTGATAAATGCATTTTATTTAGAAGAAACAAAATATTATCATAGTATAAAAACATGATTACTCACCCTCGATGTTGATTCATTTGTTATTTGATTTGTTTTAATGTCGACCCCTCTAAAATTGAATGCCTAAAATAAACATGGGATTCATATTATAATTTTATTTAATTTATTATTTTAATAAACCATTATCTTTTTCGTTATTTAAGCATATTATTTACTTTATGTAATGCACGCGCGTATATATATATATATATATATATATATATTATATATATATATCTTATTATTATCATTAGATTTTTTTTTCAATTTAATAAACATTCGAAGACTTGCCTTGGTATAGCCATAATTTAATCGCAACTCCAGAATAGATCCGCCAACGCCCTTCCTTCCGAAAAAATATTATCTCAGGAGTACTGATGCATCAGTACTCCAATGAGGGAGCCTATGTGGCACCCCTCCAATGAGAGGTCCTATGTGGCACCCCTCATTAGAGTAGTGAGAGTAGTGATGCATAGGTAATATTTTTTCCTTCCTTCCACCGTTCCTTTGCGCACGGGATCGAACAAACCAGTCGCCTCTTCCTCCTCAACGCGACAGGACGCCGCTTCTTCCTCTTACCTTTCAAGCAACTTCCCTTCCTGCGCCAGAACGCAACTCCTTCGGCTTCTCTTCTCTGTCGACGCCGTCATTCGACTTTCCTGGTAAGTCGTTAGGGTTGCTTCTGCATCCCGATCTCCCCTCTCTCTCACATTAATTTATAGGCAAATTTACTTGTTTGGTTTCCCGATCCTAAGGTTTCTTCTCTCCCCTCTTCGGCTTCAATTTCTCTTCTTCAGTTCTTCGTTTGCATTACTTCTCATTTCGTCATCTCTCCCACTCAATTCTTCGATTTTTCTGCCCCGGGTATAAAACAGAACATTATAATCTTCTCCGCATCCTTGAAATTTTTAAACAGATCTTAAGCAAGTCAAAATTAGCTATTCACGAAACTTTCATGAAAAGTAATCACTAGAAAGTTAACAACTCGATACAAGATGACTCGACTATACTTCATATAACAATACACAACTAATGAAGTAAGGAAGCATGCTAGGAAAAATACCTTATATAAGAAAAAGCCAAACTTTCACCATCTGCAACAGTAGGCTCTTCAGACTCACTATGAGTAAAGGAGTATACTCGAGGTCGAACCGGTTGTCTTGACTGACCTTGGGTTGGAGCTGAAGCTGTAGACTTGATCTTTTTCTGTCCACCTGCAGTCTTCTATGAAGGAGCTCCCCCTGATTTCTGTTCTTCAGCGCTCTTCTGGCCAAGAGAGGGGCCATATCTTGCTATATGGACTGACAATACAATTAGCAAGGAGCTCCCCCTGCTTTCTGTTCTTCAGCGCCCTTCACTCAGCTCATCGATATGATTATCAAAACTTAGCATGGATAAGGAACAAATGATAAATTCCTTGAGTCTATTGGGAGAAGGATGATAATGGAAAAATAATTGTGGAATAAAGAGTGGAAGTGACATTAGTCGTCAGGTAACAGACCCCATCTACTTCAATACTTCAACCAATCATCTTCTTCAAGTTCAGATCCTAAAAGATACAATGAGATGGATAGAAAGCTACAAAATAATTATTGAATTTCATTAAAAAAATCGAATATATGATAGATTTATTAAAAATATAGTGCATAAAAACAAAGAGAGAGAGAGAGAGAGAGAGACAGAGAGACATTCCAAAGGAATTATAGTACTTTTCTTAGAGATAGGGAAGAACAGCCCAGTAGGCACAATCATGGGACAAGAGGGACCATAGGGAGCAAAATTTGTCTTTTCATATGGGGTAGACACACTTGAACATAAAATTGATAACATACTTGGGGAGAAATTTATAGTAGATCCATAATGTAGTGGTATGAGTTTTTTGAAGCAAGCAATTATATTCCTATCAAGAAAGCATGGCAAAGCTTAAAGGAGCAGTAAGTTGAAAAAACATCATCAAATTTAGATGGTTTTGAAGCATGTTGGGTAGAAGGTAACTGGGAAAGAACTTCCCCCTCACGGCACATCCAATATTAATACAACCTCCATGTCTTTGAATAGCACAATGCCCAATGGTGAGGGTACTCCCATTGATGGGAACCCATGAAAACTAGTTGCAATTTTAGGAATTGTGTACTTGAACATTAGTTAGATTGCACATATGGAATCAATCATTAGTTAGGAGGAGGTTGATCAAAGCCATAATGTTTATAGAAAACTATAGTGGTGGTAAAAAGAGCAGGAGCATCATTCATTAGCTAGTAGCCCACACCAATTTTTTAACTTCAAGTAATCACCTTGTTTGAACTGAAATCCTAAGTGATAAAACTAGATAAATACAATTGACAAGAAAAATAAAATAATTATAGGATTTCATTGAGATAATGAATTTATCAAAAATTCACAAAAAAAGAGACAAAATATCAGGGAGAGATAAAGTTGTTGAAGTAGTCATAATGCCTTTCTTTGAGATTGGAGTGAGAGATTCATCAGCCACAATCACATGATTGAGGGGGTGTAGAGAGGAGAAAAGTTTGCAATTACTTGCCTAACAAGAAGAGACAATTGAATTGAAAATTCTTGACATTCTTAAGGAGATATTTATTAGATTTTTAGATGAGGAAATAGATTATGAAGTAGATGCTAACGTTTGAATATTTTGAATCAAATGATTATAATTCTGTTGAGGAAGCTTGACAAATCTTGAAGAAGCTATAATAGTGGAAGAAAAATTATCGATAATAGATAGATAGGCTATAGAAGTATTGCTAAATATGGTCCAATATCACTTCAAAGAATGATTTGTATGACATTAGTCAGAACATGGTGGAAATAACTTCAATCCCTCAATCACATCCACTATTAGTAAGACCTCCAATTTTATGAGCACTATGATGCTCAATAACTTGGAAAGTTTGACGCGGTGAAGGAAATGATAATTATGTGATGTGAAGTACTTGCAAACGAGCATTTGTGGGATTGGGAACTATGAAATCTACCATCAATTGGGATTGCTTATATTGAAGGGATTGATGTAGTTTTGAGATAAATTTTGTCACCAGAAACTCTTCATTTTATTGTTGCTAGATCTTAGGATCAATGATAAAAGGTATAGTGAATTAACTCATTCCACTACCTTCTAGGGTGCTATGGTAACCATGAATGGACAAATTTTTTTGGCACAAGGAAAATTGGCTAGATTATAAAGTATAAATTCTGTTGATGTAATTTATTAAAAGTTAAGTGGAGTGATGTTATCTCTCATAGCCTTTGTTGCCTCATAAAAAAGATTTTGGAGTTAGTAATGATTTGATTTTTTTTTGGTAGCCAAGTAAATACAATATAATGAGATGTAGCCATTTCACTAAATTCCCTTGACCATAAGAGTTAATTGATACCATTGAATTTAATAAATGTCTTAATGATAAAGGTTTCTACATCTTGTATAAGAGATGAAGAAGCTATTATACCATTGAATATGTAATGCAAGTAGAAGAGAGGTTAAGTCATCCTTGGTAGAACATTGAAGAGTAGTGGAGAAGACAAAAAATGTATGGTGCATCAAGCAAATCTAGTTTGCAAAGTGGCTGAAAGTGCAAGTGAAGGCAAAAGGAGTGTGGCGAGCAACTATAGTGCGGGCATATATCAAGCTGTTGTGGGACACGAGAGCTACAAAGTAGAAGATAGAGTTTGAGGCAAGCTCGCGGGGACATACATGAGTTAAAAATGGAATTGTTGAGTGACAATTTGAAGGAGGGTGGTTGTACATGCAAAGGTGTGTGTAATGAATTTGATGTAGAATAGTTTTAGGGGAAGGTGCATCAAAGGGCCAGGGGTTGGGCCATTGATTCAAAGGTGGCCTGGGAGAGCCAACCAAGTGCGATTGATTCAAACAATAGGAGGGATGTGAACTTGTCAAGTGGGATTGAGATGGTGCTTAGGGTTTTCCAATTTTGTTATCACGTTGAGTATCAATCAAGAATGACAGAAATTAGGGCTTTAGAATTAAAAGCTTCCTTATTTAAATTGCTTCCAATTTTCTCCCCTGATTTACCTTTCTTATTAATTGTACATATTATTAGATTACCTAAAATAGATTGAATTATTTTATTATTTATTGGAATGAAAGCAAAGGAAAAAGGACATTGAGCCAATTTTTCTCAAAGATTGTTATGATTTCTCAGAGCTAGATTTTAGTTCAACACCTCCTCGCCTCCCCTGTCGGTGCTCCCTTTTACGCCCGACTTGAGGCCTTCAATATCTCCCATGGACGAGGAATCTCGCCTTGGCAAGGGATCCCTAGCCTTCTCGCATCGTCTTCGCAAGGCCGTCCCGTGCCTTCTTGCATCTTCTTCGCAAGGTTGTTTCTTTCCTTTTCGCATCTTCTTCGCATGGTTCTTCGTGATGCCTTCCCCGATCCCAATCTCGCAGCTCCCGTGACGTCTTCACTAATCTCGCCGCTTCTTCGTGACGCTTTCCCGTGGACTCGATCCAGATCTCGAGCAACCCGAGCACCCGAGCAACTCGATCTCGCCACTTCTTTGTGACACCTTCCTCGGCCTCTATTCAGCAACCAGATCCCGAGCCTTCTCGTCTTTACAAGAATGTCTTTTGAGAAATCACATGAAATCTTATTTATCAGATTTACGGGAAAAAATTGTGCAGCATGGGAATTTCAGTTCAAGATGTTTTTGAAAGGGAAGAAGCTTTAGGGTCATATTGATGGATATTCTCTAGCACCTATAGAGACGAAAAAACTTATTCAATGGGAGGCAAAGGCTGCTCGGATCGTCTCTTGGATTTTGGGATCTATTGAGGTTCATATGGTGAACAATTTACGATTCTTTGACATAGCTAAAGAAATGAGGGAATACTTGAAACATGCCTATAATTAAGATAATATTGCAAGACGCTTTCAATTGGAACTTGATATGAGTAATTATAGTTAAGGTAATCTCTCGAGCAAATAATATTATTCTGGCTTTTTTAATTTATGGAGCAAATATTTTGGTATTATTTATGCTAAGGTATCAAAGGAAAATTTAGCTAGTGTTCATGCTATTCATGAAGTCAGTCATCGTGATCAGTTTTTGATGAAGCTCAGACCTGAATTTGAAACTGCTCGGGTTGGATTGCTGAATAGAGATTTAGTTCATTGTTTAGATGTATATTTTGGTGAGTTATTGCGCGAAGAATAAAGATTGGCGACGCAAGCCACTATCGATGTAACTGGTGGATCATCTGAAATAGTTAATGTTGCATATGCTGCTCCGACCAAGGGCAAGGGAATATTGCAATGTTAGAGTTGCAAAAAAATTGGTCATATTGCATGCCATTGTGGTAAGAAGTTATGTAATTATTGTAAGCAAAAGAGACATTATTAAGGAGTGTCCTACACGGCCCTAAAATCGCAGATCACAAGCCCTTCATGCTGTGGTGACCGACTCGCACATCCACAATTGCTTGCAATAATCAATCTGTTTTCACATCATATATGGTTCAACAAATGATTCTTTCTGACTTTTCTGCTCTTGGTCTTTAAGGAAAAGGTAAGGCTATTACTTTTGTTCATTCTCCTTGATTTGTTGATTCAGACGTCACAAATCATATGACCGACACAGCTAATTTATTGCATAATCAACGCACATATACTGATACTCAACATATTCAAATTGCTGATGGAAATAATATTTTATTTATGACAGTTAGTGATATTAGCTCCTCTTTCCGATATGTATTGGTTTCTCCTAAATTATCTACTAGCTTACTTTCTGTTTGTCAAATGGTGGGTAATAACTGTGACGTACACTTTTCTCGTGACAGTTGTATTGTGCAGGATTAGGTTTCAGGAAATGTGCTAGCGAAAGGACCTAAAGTGGACAGATTATTTTCATTACAATTTACCATTCCTCGGACTTTGTCATTGACTTATTCAGTTGTCAAAAATAAAGCTGGTGTCTGACATAAACGATTAGGTCATCCAACTAATGTTATTTTGAATCATTTGTTGCAAACTGTTGTTTTTGGTTCTATAAATAAAAGTTTATTATTTAACTGTTTTTCCTGTAAAGTGGGGAAAAGTAAGACATTACCTTTTCCAAATTTGGGTAACCGTGCCAATAAATATTTTGACATTATTTATATTGTAATTTGAGGAATTATACCAGTTATTTCACATGCTTAATATAAATGTTTTGTGAAATTTATTGACGATTACAGTTGATTTACATGAATTTATTTTTTTGCATTCCAAAGCAGAAGTGTTTATCGTGTTTCAAACTTTTGTGGCATATATTGAAACTCAGCCCTTCACTTTTTTTAAAATTTTACGGTCTGAGAATAGTGGTGAATACATATCTTATGAGTTTCAAGCATTTCTTCATAACAAAAGTATTGTTTCACAACGTTCATGTCCTTATACACCTCAGTAGAATGGAGTTGTTAAATAGAAAAATTGACATCTGTTGGATATGATACGCACATTGTTGTTGGAATCTTCTGTTCCAACTAAGTTTTGTACTAAATTTTTATCTACTGCAGTTTATCTGATGAATTATTTATCATCTCAACAACTGAAGTTTGATTCTCCCTACTATCGAATTTTTGATAAACATCATAATTATCATATACTATATACTTTCGTATGTGTTTGATTTGTTCATTTATTTGCTCATGAACGTCATAAGCTAGCAACACAGTATGTTCAATGTGTCTTTATGGGTTACAATCCTAATGATAAAACTTTTGTGTGTTATGATTCGACTAATAATTGATGACATTTCTCTCGAGATGTGATTTTCTTTGAACATGAATGTTATTTTCAGCATCATCTTTCGACATTTGATGTTGTTATACTTTCACACTTTGATAATTCTTCTTCTGATAAATGATTCAAACCTGACCTTGTCTACACACGACGCCTGCCCCCTTCATCTCTAGTCCTCCCCAAACCTGCTCCGAAAATGCTCCAATGATTCTTTGACGATCAACTAGGTGCATTCGTGCTCCGGATAGATATGACTATTCTGTAATTTTAACTAATATTACATGTCCTACCACATATTTTGAGACTGCTAAACAAACTTTTTGGATAAAAACCTTGCAAGAGGAACTTCAAGCACTTCAAGACAATCACACTTGGGATATTGTTTCATGTTCTACAGGTGTTAAACTCACTGGTTGTAAATGGGTTTATTCTCTTAAGCTCCGATCTGATGGTTCCCTTGACAGATATAAGGTAAGATTGGTAGCTCTCAACAATTTACATGAATATGTTATTGATTATGAAGAGATGTTTGCACCTGTGGCTAAGATGACAACTGTCCGTCTTGTTCTATCTATTGCTGCATCTAAAGGTTGGTTCTTACGACGGATGGATGTTAAGAGTGCATTGTATGGGGACCTCAAAGAAGATATCTATATGACTCTCCCTCTAGGCTTGTTTTCTACACCGATGTTTGTAAGTTTAAACGGTCTCTGTGTGGTTTGAAACAGGCTCCACGAGTCTGGTTTGAAAAGTTTCGCGATTCTTTTCTTAGCTTCTCTTTTATTCAAAGTTAGTATGATTCATCATTATTTATTTGCAAGACTGACAAGAGAATTGTTTTGTTATCAGTCTATGTTGATATTTTCATCACAGTATCTGATTCTCAATTGATGTCTTAGTTACAATAGCGTCTTTAGGGTTCCTTTCATATGAATAATTTGGGGTGATTAGACTATTTCTTAGGTATTGAGATTCACTCTTCTCCCGCTGGTGTTTTCTTCATCAGCATAACTATATTAAAGAACTCATTGCTTTTGTTGTTCTCCAAGAGGTTCGCCCTGTTGATACACATTTGGAAGTGAATGCTAAATATCAATGGAATGATGGTGACTTTCTATCTGATCTATCTCTGTGTCGACAACTTGTTAGGAGTCTCAATTATCTGACTATTACACGCCTTGATATTTCATTTGCGGTGCAACAAGTTAACAAATTTATACAGGCACCTACACATCTTCACTTGACTGTTGTTCGACGTATTGTTAGGTATTTGAAAGGTACTTCTCATCGTGTTTTGTTCTTTTCTGCGAAGTCTTCTATTCGCTTAACAACCAATAGTGATGTCGATTTAGCTGGTTGTTATGATACACGTCAATGTATTACTAGTTGGTGTATGCTTCTTGGCAACTCTTTAATTTCTTGGAAGAATAAGAAACAAGAGCGAGTGTCAAAATCTTCTATTGAGTCTGAATATCGTGCTATGTTCTCTGCTTGTTCTGAGATCATTTGACTTCGGGGTTTATTGGCAGAGCTTGATTTTCTTCAATTTGGGTCTACTCCTCTTTATGCAGATAATACTAACCCTATTCATCATATTACAACTAATCCTGTCATTCATAAGTGCAGAAAACACATTGAAGTGGATTATCATTCTATTCGAGAAGCTTATGTTGATGGTGTTATTTCTGTTCCACATATCTCTTCTAATCTTCAAACGACTGATATATTTACTAAGACTCATTCTCTGTAACGTCATCAATTTCTTGTTAGCATATTGATGTTTCATGATTAGTCAACATCAATCTAAGAGGGGATATCAACAAGAATGACAGAAACCAGGTAGCTTTCCTTATTTAAATTGCTTCCAATTTTCTCCACTGATTTACCTCTCTTATTAGTTGTACATATTATTAGACTACCTAAAATAGATTGTACATATTATTATTTATTGGAATGGAAGCAAAGGAAAAAAAAGGCATTGAGCCATTTTTTCTCAAAAATTGTTATTGAGGGGAAATAATTTATTGTGTTATATATAAGTTGAATTAGTGAGATCTATTAATAGGGATAAACGACAGTACAATAAAAAAAGGAAATAAGGAACAAATAAACGATAACAAAACCCCATTCATGATCTTGCAATGATTTTTTAATTTTATGAATTTTATGAATTCTACAATTTTGCCTATACTACATAATGCACTAATTAAGTTAATAATGGCTTTTTACCAGAGTTTCTCAGTATAATCATTACTATTTTAAAAACACATGAATTTAGCTGTTGGATATATTCATGTAAGCTTTATGCTTTATTATTTTAAAATTATTTTAAAAATTTATTATTTTAAAATTTTGTATTTTCTCATAGAAATCTATTATAAGTTTGCAGTGCAAGTTTACATTTACTCTTTTAAGCACGCTTAATCATTTTTATGTTAAATTGCTGTTTTTTACCTTTTTGCGTTCATTTGCTAAGAGTTAACATAACTATCAAAATCACGCCATTATAAAATCTTTAACTTTTGAAAATTTATTTGGCTGCCTTCTGGTGGCTAGATCTCATTGGGACATTGTCATCGTCAGCAGATGAGATATTCGATCAGTACTTCAACGAGAAAATTAGCACTTTTGAAGAGTTCCACCTCTCTTTTCTTGAATATTCTATGTAAGTTTTTTTCATTTGTTTTGCCTTTTTGTTTTGGTTTATATTGCTTAATAATCTTATTGTTTTAATTTTTGTAAATGCATGAGCTTCTGCTTGATCGCAGCAAATTAAATAATTTTTTTCCTGGCAAGCATTATGATGCTCCACCACGCCTACTGATTAAGGTCTGTCTGATCCTCTTTTGCACATTTAATGATTTTTGTCCAGTGCGTAAGTAATGCGAATGCTTACAGGGCACCTTATTGCCCACATATAGTAAAATGGCAGTGGAAATGAATTTCTACTTGCATTTACATACATACCACCCAATTTCTATATATTGACATATCTAAATCCTAAACATTAAGTTTTTACATTTATACCACCTAAATCTTTCATATCACATAAAAAATACCACTATTTTAACTTTTAAAAAAATGAAAGACATGCTTTCATGCATCGATAAGGTGGCAATTAGGTGCTAACATGTGAGTTGATTAACCAGAGAAAGCATTGCAAGGCAAGCAGATCTAACTCGGGAACATATTGGATGATACATTAGTTACTACTGGCAATGACAATCATCTTACCAACTTATTAGCTTGCTCTTTCCC